ATTGAAAGTCGACATGGAAAGTCCAGAAATTAGGAAATGGCAAAATATTAATTTTCAACTGCACATAGTGGAGGGACGTGAAGACTGCGAACACGTGAGATGGCCGCCCGGCGTTTACAAGGTCCTTTACGACCGGTGGGGAAGTGCACTAAAAACATCTAAAATAAAAGTGGACAGCATCACCTACTTCATTTTTAACTGTCGCAAGGGTATGATTGCTCCCCTCTTCTCTACTGCAAGAGGTGTCAGTGAGCAGATCATTCTTCTGTGATGCTGTAGCAGAGCTTATTATGACTGAACACATGTAAATGCTATCTCTAATATGACGACTGTAACTAGAGCGAGAAAATATAAATGCAAAATATTTAACATAATTTAAAATTATTTATCGTGTTTTGTTATAATCGATATATTTATATTATTTGATATACAATGCAGTAACTCTTACAGCAGGTCAAATATACATTTATACTGTTATGAATACGTCAGGCACACGATGATTTACATAACATTATTAATATGCATTACCAGCACCTCGCGTGTGTCCTGTACCAAAACATAATTCCGCTGTCCGTATAAACCTTATACATTCTGCAATGTGGTTATTACCTTCTTGGCAGTAACCTTGAGTGTATTTGTATTGTGAAATTTAGACATGGATTGTGCATTATTTCCTCATTGTGGTTTTTTTTTGCAATATTGTACACTATTCTTGGTTCTTTAGGTAAAGTCACGTAGAAGGGAAATAATAAATAATACAAATATAAAACAATAAAATTATCATGTCGTTTCGACTGCAACACAAGCAATCATCACCAGGTGTGAAAACCACAGCAAGAAAATTTGAAAAACGTGGCGTGTTTTTTACGTTAGCACCACGGAGAGCAATTTGGTAGTTATTCAAATTGACGAGTCCATCTATGTTCGGAAAAGAGGAGGGGGAGACGAAAATAATGGATGCGGTCTGAAAGCCACCGTAAGCGTGAACAATCAATTAAGACCCGAAATGGTTAATCAAATCCTTCCAATGATTGCTAAGCCAGAATCCACTCGGTTGAAATTGTCTCTGTGTTTGTATATGTGGATAGCCTCATGAACGAATCTCTCATGGTAGCCAGATGGCTTGCAAAGAACCTCTGTTTTGGAGAAGTCAATGTCATGTGAGCCTACTGAATTATAACAGTAATCTGCCACGGCCGAGGTGTTGGTCCTACCATGTTTTAGGTCTGCTTTGTGTTCACAAATGCGGTCTGAGACATGTCGTTTGGTTTCTCCAATGTAACTACTACCACAAAGGCAACTTAGTTTGTAGACACCAGGGTACTGTATGTCCGGAATCACATCTTTTACAGACGGAACCAGATCACGGATTTTATGTAATGTGTTGAATCGGACCTGGATCTTGTGTTTATTCAAGATTTTGGAGATCGTTTTTGTGATCCCCGCAATGTAGGGTAAAGTGATGGTTTTGAAAGGCTCCTCAAGAGGGTCCTTCTTCATGGTTGGAGTGATAGCTTTGCGGATTGTGTAGTCGGAGTAACCATTTGTCTTGAGCGCTTGGTGTACGTGCTTGAGTTCACTGGCTATGTGTTCCTAGTCGGATATGCATTGGGCTCTATGGTGCAGAGTCTTGATGAGGGAATTCTTCTAGGATGGATGGTGGTGGTAATCCGGTTTCAGGTAAGCATCCGTATGGGTAGCTTTCCTGTAGACAGAGTGGTTCATTGAACCATCAGGTCTCTTTCTTATTAGGACATTGGATAAACCAAACGACATGTCTCGGACCACATTCGTGAACACAAAGCAGACCAACACCTCGGCCGTGGCAGATCACTGCTATAATTCAGTAGGCTCACATGATATTGACTTCTCCAAGACAGAGGTTTTTTGCAAGCCATCTGGCTACCATGAGAGATTCGTTCATGAGGCTATCCACATATACAAACACAGAGACAATTTCAACCGAGAAGATGGATTCTGGCTTAGCAATCATTGGAAGGATTTGATAAACCATTTCGGGTATTAATTGATTGTTCACGCTTACGGTGGCTTTCAGACCGCATCCATTATTTTCGTCTCCCCCCTCCTCTCTTCCAAACATAGATGGACTCGTCCATCTGAATAACTGCCAAATCACTCTCCGTGGTGCTAACGTTAAAAAAACGCCACGTTTTTTTAATTTCTTGCTGTGGTTTTCACACCTGATGATGATTGCTTGTGTTGCAGTCGAAAGGTCGTGAGAATTGTATTGTTTATATTTTTATTATTTTATTGTTTCCCTTCTACGTGACTTTACCGAAAGAACCAAGAATATGAATCCCTGCAGTCATGAAATCTTTAAATCAAAAATATATCGTACACTGTTAAGGAATGATGTAGGGTGCTTATTTAGTATTTTATTAGTGGGTGATTCCCCCCCCCCCCCCAGGTATTGCACCTCTGCAGAGCTGAAACTAAATGCCTGAGGCTTGCTTAGGCTCACCGGTGTTCTTCATTACCATGTGAAATTATTTTAGCTGTTAGGATGTTGAAATATATCTTACCTTCTTGAACATTAACAGTAGAGGAAGCCATTATTCTACCAGACAGGGGTAGGCAGTTTTGGTGCTGATGGGATCTATTTGCGTTTGATCCAAACAATCACTCACATGAGGAGTTGTATTGCGCCGATTGTACGGTGTTACTTTTTTAATCTAATATAACATACAGACCTTAGTCAATCCACTCCTGGATGAAGGCCTCCCCATGCAGTATTGGTCATTGAGGTTGGCCATAATTCACCACGATGTTCAGCGCATGTTGGTGCAGAGGGAGAAACAGCAGGAACCGGTTCAGAAATCACTTGCGGTTGATACGAGCTGTGACTGGGAATCAAAATCAGGTCACGACATGTATAGCACGTTGGGGCTTCGATTTTAAGAGTTAAAATACTGTTTATTTTGTTGTAAAAACATTTTTGCATATGTCTAATCCGCTTCATAGGACAACATCGGATCAGCCAATCAAAGCAGCCAATTCTACGATCGGATTTGAATCTTATTTTGCCATAAATATCGGATTGATGCTGATTTATGGTACACTTCTAATTTAATACATATTTTTAGTGCAACCCTTTTACAATTAACCTCTAATTTACCACACCTCGCTGTGTTTATTATTGATGTTATCTGTTTAAAGAAATAAATGCCAACACAGACGTGAAAGTGGGTGACAGTAAAACCACACTAGAGTTGGTAAATTTACATTTACAACTTTGATAGTGTTTGTTGCTGCCTTTGGTCTGGTGCTTGGCAAATGTGTTAAACAAAGCCACAAAGTCGGGAAGTAAATGGGTCCTAGTTTGAATCATTTTGCATACATGCTAGAGACCTCTGCTTAGGTAATTTGTTTTCATTCCAACAACTGTGTAGTGACTGACTCAGAGACACTAGGAGTAGGAGGCACTCTATTTATTAACAGCCTTCACACAAAAGGTAACTACAGCTCCCAGTTAGGACAGCTGGCAGACTGCCTGACTGACGACGCCGAGATGGTGAAGACGGCGACGAAGACTCCAGCAGCACGACGGGATTCCACTTCAGGCAACAGCCCCGAGCCTTAGCTCGGGGTCCCCTTTTATCCTCCCAGCGTGGCCTCGCTCTGCCCCGGCCACGCCCCCCTTCTAGAACCTACTCCCTCACGTGCCCCCGCTATCACCGTTGCCCTACATCCCTCTCTTTGGTTTATCACGTGACCTGCTAAGAGACAGGGCTGCTGCAACTGCAATTCCTCTTCTCTGCCAGCAACCAGCGCTATGCTACGTAGTGACCAATTCCATGTCACTACAACTGTAATGTTCACCACCAGGAGGGTCATTTTTTCAACAAATGAAGAACATGCTTTACAATGCCATCTTTGTTTTTTAAGGTATTGAATGTAATTTCGTGATTTAATCATCTTATAAGCAGCTGATATGTCAAGCAACAGCATAACTTACCTGAAATCTGTTTTGCAGTATATCATGAGTAATTTTAACCAGGGCAGTCTTGGTTGAGTTTGATTGGCAGAATTCTAATGAATATTTATGCACGTATATGTATGTAATACTGCTCATGCCGAACAAGGATATTTTAAATAAATATATGTGCAATTGTACGTGCAATGGAAGGGTGTAAATTGTTCTGTAGTTAAAGGCATGGTTGAGGTCACCTGAAGCATTTTTTTGTACTAGTATGACACGTGACAACTTTCGACATTGTGCCAAATTTCCACTTTCGAGTCAGGTATTATACAACTTGTTAAAATATAATTTGAGGGAATCGGATCAAAGCCACGCTTTTTGGAATTAATATTTTTAGTATTATTTTTAGATAGAAACCAGTGATGATCAAAGGCCAATAAGCTGACATCGCCGTAATGATAGCGGATTTACCAATGTTCTTGGGACAAACACTGGAAAAGTTTATCCCCCAAGAGTGCTATTTTGCTCTTAAAACAATTCGAACATTCATGAGCTGATAGAGTTGTTTGTTGTCTGTTAAGAGTTTGGTTATTTAAAATGTATTTTTATATTTATATAGGCCCTGCATTTCTCCGATCCTCAAGGAATCTGTTTTTATTGACCTATCTTCGGGTTACTCATTCTGCTTAAGTAATTCTTTATTTTTATTCATCACAAACGAGTAGCCAAATACCATAATTATATCAGTGCTACCCAACGTTGCTTTCTACGTATGCGAATTAATTTAACATCACAGCAAATGTGATGCTGTACTACTGCTCCATCGTCGTATCAGTGTTGTGCATGCCCATCATGGTGTAATAAAACGAGCAATTTCCTAATAACTTGAAGGATTAGGTGGGTATATAATCCCTATACTTGGTACCCAGTGGTCATTATGCATTCTAGTTGCAGTCCAAGGTTTTTGCTTCACCGGGCGATCAAAGAAGAACATTTTTTTGTTGCTGTAACGATACGTAAAGTAATTGCAGGACGTCCTCTCTTGTGTGTGTGTGTACAGGGTATCAGGCCGGGCAGGCAAGGACCCCTTCATCGAAGAACTGGACGTGGGAGAAGCCAAGGAGAGCTGGGGCAGAGGTACAGGTAAGGGACGGTTTACCATATTGGTCAGAACAAAGCTCCAACACACACTCTGTATGGCAAAGGTAATGGTGCAGAGCCCTGCAATTCCTTGCTCACGCCACTGCTGGTGGAAGGGCCTCCACTGGAAGGGGCACTATCGAGCCCCACTTTGAAGATATTTTCGCCTGCCGATTGACTAACATTGGTGAACCCATTAATATGGCCGTTTGTATGTTGAAGACCTTTCGCACCGTACATAGCCAACCGTGCTAATCAGAGGCTGGGTGGACACATGGGAGGATTTAAGAAACTTGTCAATTGTTTCAACTACCATGCTGCAGGATTGAACCAAAGACCTCTGGATTTCAAGTCCAGTGTGTTAACCTTTACACCACGGCAGTATCCTATACTCCATAATAACCAATCCAAAATTCACAAACGGAGCTGGTAAAAGGCACAGGCGAGGCACATTTTTCCCAGAACCAAGGTCTAAACATATGCCACGTATGATCACCAATCATCCAGCTTTGATATGCTAAGAGACAAATTTGACAAACACGCGAGGCCTAGCTGGATTAGTAAATAAGATTACAAGGTGCGCACCCATGAATTGGATGAGCAAGAGGAGCGGTGCATTAAGCCGCGTAACTTTTACGTTTGCCAGAACGCGGTGGTTCTCTCAGACTCTGTCAGTTGTAAACGTGGAAGGCCAGATTGTGGGGTGGGGTTGTGATGAGTATAATAAAATAAAATAAACCACAAATCCCCCTTGGGCTGTATTCCAGTTAAATCTGTGGATGACTGCAAGGGATGGGGGACATCGCCAATATTCGTGCGTCTCTCCCCCAAGCAGTCAATCTGTTGATGGGATATTAAGTACGTTCGCTTAGTAGTCCATTTAAAAAAAAATGTGTTCCCCACATACCTTTATGCCTCAAAATGGTGCTTTTAAGTATGTGTAGTAATTATGATTGGTTGTAATATGTAGCACTTTTTCGAATAATATTACGTATTTTTTATCATTTGTATTTCTCAGTTCTTGTTAAAATGAAGTAGAGCTCCTCATGGCAGTGGAAATACTTGATTTTACCTGTCGAGACTTAAACACTCTCTCGCAAGAGATAAGTGGGTCAACAAGTAACAGCAGTGCAGTGCAACACAGGCTTAATGAACAACGCAGGCCTAACAAACCTAAAGAATACAACTACACAATGCAGTTCAACTCAACTTTCAAAGCATGTAAACTTATACATTTTAAAACATGTAATCAGATAGTATGTACTTGCAAAATGGAAACAAAATGTATCATGAAACCCAAGTGCATATTAATTTCAAATGAGGTGTTTAACACGATTAGAAATAAATGCTTTCAAACATACCAAAGTAGCCAAGTTGAAACCAAGCTCAGACCAATTTACTTCTCTCCTCCGGGATGATACAAGTTTACCTTTGTCATGCAGGGAGACCTCTCAGAGCCAGAGTAATCAGAGCGTCGCGTGTGATGGGTGATGTCCAGCTCAGTTGGATCATTTAATAATTACATAATTACTTCTTTTAAATTAACCAAACGTGTAATTAACACTTGACACTTAAATTTAATCAACACGAAATAGCTATTAACAAATAATTAGAGCTATTAACAAGTAGCTATTAGCTAAATTTTACAATTTAATAACACCTGAAACATCACTGCAGTTTAATCTGTGTCACTTACCATTACCATGGACGACTAAAGAGATTTCATGATGGGCTCGAATAAGTCTGTAAGCTCTGTCCAGTATTTTTCAAGCAGCAAGAGAAATATCCCATGACATCCAGCACGGCTACCTTATTCTGTCACGATGCCATACAGCGCATTGTCAATCCATTGCTGGATGAAGGCCTGCGCACGGTTATGTTTTGTCGTGAGGGTTGTGTTGACAGTGCTTCTTCATGCTTGTCGGCATGGATTGGTAAGTGGGGGGGGGGGGGGGCGGACCGGACTCATGACCGGTTTTGATATCACACGATCACTGATGTTCGCCGTGGCCAGGCATTAAATCCAGGTCGCCGGGCTTATGGGTGCTTGGGAATTAATGATGCACTTTGAACTTACACAGTATACTTTATTTATTTCAGGGGCGCCACGGTCGTGTGATGTTATATTCTTTGCCTGGTAATGCAGGGGGTCCGGGGTTCGATCCCGACCCTGACGCTGGAATATTTGGAGTTTGCATGTTCCCCCCGTGGTCGCATGGATTTTTTTCTCCGGGTCCTTTGATGGTTTTTCCCTCCACATTTAGAAACATGCATTGAGATTATTTAGATTATTTTGCTGCTGAAATTTCCACATGATAAGCCACTTTGTTGAGCTGTCATTTGTGGCCAGGTCGCTTCTGAAAAATAAGTTAATACCTCCGTGGGAAATTGAACGGAGGTCGCCGGGTTCGTCGTGCGATGTGCTAACCACTGAGCCACTGCTCCACCGACGTCATAAGGCAGAGTCAGCACGATAGCGGTGATGATTTTTTTTGTCCGGGGCTATTACACCACTGCCAATATATTATGTTATTTAAATAATGGCAGGACATTATATATTTTTTGCATGCAGAAAACTATACTTCTGATACTCGTGTCGCAGAAATGTCAACGATCAGACCTATTGTGGTATGTTGCTATAGTAACCCCAAGTCATATTTATTTAAATACATCTTGTATTTTAAAATAACTTGAACAATGGGGAGAATATATAATTGTGTTCTCACTTGGATAAATTACTTAATTCATCATTAATTAAATCAGAATTAAACCTAATGACGAACCCCAATGTAAATATATTATAACATGATTAATTAATTTTAAATGTTTTCAGCGATGAAGTAATTGATTAAATGCGTGGCAATTGCCATTTTCCAAGGCAACGTTAGGCTTCACAATTGAAATGAGGATTGTTAAATGACATAATTGCTCCCGTGGATTTCCCCTGCCCCTTGGTATAACCATGCCAGGCACGTTCTCTCTGCGAGACGGTAAAATATCTACCATCTTTGGGGCAGGTCCACATTTTATTGCGGAGTGGACGCGGAGTGTGTAAGTGCATGCATGGAGACAGAGAAGGATGTCTTTTTGCTGGCCAACCAGGTGCAACGTACACACCAAGTGCAGACATAAACTGCCGCTTAGATTTACAGATTGTGACAACGGGCACTGCAAGGTGTTCACACAATAGCCCGGCTTCACAACTGAGCAAACGAGGACTGCAGCAAGCAAGAACTCTTTTTCATGTAAACAATTAATCCCATGCTTCTAAGCTCTGATGAGAAGCGGTACTCGTGAATACTGTTGATAGGATGTGGGGGGAGGGGGGGGGGAACCTACACCTATGTCTTCAACACGTAAATAAAATGCAGCGAAATATTCGGGCAGTTTTGCACGAGAAGAAAATGCTGCAATACAAATGACAAACCAGGCTGGAGAGTACAGATAAAGTGGAGGTTTATGGCTAAAATAGAGTTGCCTTTGAAATAACTTAAATAACATTTAAAAAGTGAGAACACAGACGGGGCATATCGTTTCCAAGGTGTTAAGAAGGTTGGCACCTCCATTTGAAAATGTATGCGTTGAAAAGAGACGAGCCGTAAAACACGTTGCCAGTGGCCACGTTGTTTGCCTGCACACGAAAAAAAATCCCGTCTCTCACATGCCGCCACGGCCTCCTCCCAGCCGCGTCTCTCCAAAGACAGCCTCTCGTCTTCCTTTGGGAACTTTGTGTCGATGACCTTCGTGCATTTCTGTCTCCACCCCCCCTCCGTTATTTATTGAAAACACTATAAAACACCTTTCCTCATGGCTCCCTATCTGTGGACCGTTATAAATGTTTTAACCGTCAAACTTTCCTCACTCCGTGTCACCGGTGTTTATAGACATGCAAGTGTGATGTATGCTGATACATAGCTAAATCGAGGTGAGTTATAGGAGGTGCGGCCCCGTGCTATGCATTCATGTCCACGCGTGGTTGTGACTCGACTTTTTTTAGACGCAAGCTGAAAACACCACTCCCGCCATTGCCATTGAGGATTTGTCTCAATTGCACATGGTTTGTGATCTCGCGTTTTGTTCTGCAGCATTTTGATTGGTGCCAAAGGCAACGTATTCTGCATACATATATTATGATTAATTGCAAAAGCACATGGTCCTCAGAAAGCATCTTGGGATTATTTGAAGCTCCAGTTTTGTAGGGCCAAAGTAAGGCACCCCAGTGCAGAAAATATATAATGCACAAGGCTTTGTACACAGAAATGTGAGTATTTATTTAAAGTCAATGTTATGCAAATTTGCTTGCATCTACTGCACATCATGTATGCCTTTAAAATGTTTTTTTAAGCAGTCCTACACAATCGCAGCACCTGCTTTATATACATTTCAGAGCAAATGTATAATTTGATCAAAACATGTATAAAACATCATGGGGCCTCCTTTGCCAGTGTCAAAATATAAGAATTGGTTTTCCCCTTTTTTCTGGCAACAAATCATGTGTTTAGATGTTAAAATGTAGTTGCTCACCCCGAGCTCTCATTGTCCTGAGAGTGCATTGTCTTTGTGCTGTTCGCCTTTTGGCGTTTTCTGGTCTAACACTGTTTGAGACTAGGCTCTAAAGAAAGCTGTCTCTGGTGCGAACCAATCAGTTTCAAAGACAATGCAAAAACTGTCAGAGCATGTTTTTGTTTGTATTTTCACCACAAATATATATGGTTAATGTAGACATCATTCCTTGCAAGAGGTTTCAGTTTGGCGTTTTAACATCTTAACACCTGTTTTGTTGCCAGAAAAAAAGGGGAAAACTCGTATAGCTCCATACGTGTTCTAGCGTTGTGTAACGTCTCGCTCGTTCTGCTAACGGTGAGCGTGTGTTTATTGTGCTGCGGTTTTCGCCGACCCTTTGCAATGTACCGTTTAATCGCAAAAATTCCCACGATTTGTGCGAGACCGAGCTGGAGAGTGTATCAATGGCATGTGCTCATTTATCATTTACAGTGACTGTT